TTATTACTTTGTTGTTTCAGCAACATTAAATTTAAAAACTGTTCTTTTGAGTTAAAATATATATTTATAATTTTAATAAATGACAAATTAAAAAGGCATGAACATTTTTTTGTATTGAAAAAATATCAAACCGTGACACCAAAGTATCGAACCGAACCGTGAATTTTGTGTATCGTTGCACCCCTACTATATTTGTATATAATGAATGAAGTGTGCTGCTCACTTGATGTGTCACTACATTGGAAATGTCTTGGACTATTTAATAGTGGGAGGAGTTACTGATGTGAATGCTCTCTGCAGGTATCTGGGCAGGAAAAAGTGTGCACAGAGTGTGAGTCTGCAGCCTCCTTTTCTTCGGCCACAGCTGACAGAGGCCCAGCTGGCTGCAAAGATACTGGACAATGGCATACAGGGAGATCTGCACAGGGTAAGAGGTGCAGGAGGGGGGCTCGTGAAGCTTTACTAAAGTGCCACAAACTGTGCTGTGCTGGCTGCTTCAGCCTGCCGGTAATAAACAAGTGTTATGCAAGGGAGCTGTGCTCCTCATTCAAATCTGCACTTGATAAGTTTGCATATAGGCAGGTCCAGATGGCAGCGAGAGCTTTAAAAGCTGTTTGAAATTCAACAGGCAGAAATCCTGTAAGGTCACAGCAGTAAAAACACAACCACATCCATCAGGCAGCGTGCTGCAGAGCTACGGATGCAAAAACGGGATCGTATTTATTGAGTTTGGTTTTTATTGTTTGCTGCACCTTTTTCTTGGTGTCGTTTGTATTTTATCTTGTTTTTGTTTAGTTTTTTTGTTGCTGTATTAAACTGCTAAAGACCTGCAAGTATTTCACTTGTTAGGAAATGGATGGAATAATTTGTTCTAGTCGCAGGTCGATGATTGATTTTGTAATCGTATGCAAACGTATATCAGAGCTGTGGCCATGGCGTGGACACAGAAACGCTGTCACTGCTGACAGACCTGGGAGACCAAATCATACAGCGAGGGTGTGCTGAGGATGTCTGACAGACGCCCCAGTCAGCAAGATCTTCAGCTTACACCTCAGGCAGAGGTTCACCTCAGGGAGGTTGGAGACGCTGAGTCCGAGTGGACCATGCTCCACACCTCCATTGCTTAGGCTACTGAAAGGAATGGCGCCTGCACGATCCTCGGTGCTTCTCGTGGCGGCACCCCCAGAACCAGATGGTGAATACTGGAGGTGAAGTGAGCCGTCGGGCTGAAGGAGGAATCTTATTGGCAGTCCACAGGCAGCTGACGGGTACTGGCAGGCCAAGTGGAGTGTGGCTCTGGTAGTGGCTGAAGCCATTCAACATTGTCACAGACTGTCTTCATAGTTTTTAGTGTCTGGGCATAGTCAATGTTGGCTGCAAGATTTTATCTTTGCTTTTTGCGGAGGATGAGGTGCTTTTGGCCTCCTTTGACCTCCAGTTTGACTGGAGTAGTTTGTTGCTGAGTGTAAAGTGGACGAAATGACAACAGGAACCTCCAAGACCAAGTCCATGGTTCTCAGCCACAACAGACGGGAGTGCCCACTCCGGGTCAGGGATGAGTTACTGCCCCAAGTGGAGGAGTTCAAGTATCTCGAGTCCACGAGTGAGGGGGGAGTGCATGCAAGATTTACAGACAGATTGGGGCGGAGTCTTCAGTGATGGAGATGCTGCACAAATCTGTTGTGGTGAAGCGAGAGATGAGCATGAAAGGGAAGCTGCCAATTTACCACAGCCTCTGTTTAGTGACCGAAAGAACGAGGTTGTGGATCAATGTCAGCAATTAGTTTCCCTTCAAGGCTACGGCCACACGTACCCGGCGTAAACGGCGTTTTCGGTCACTGAAAACGGAGATTTCTAAAAACTCCGGCCAGGGTGGAGATTTTCTAAAACTCAGTTTTTGCATTTACGTGTGGACAAGAAAAACGCAGAAAACGCAGCGTCAAAGGTGTGCGCCTTTTGTGACGTCACACTGTGCGCCACGTTATTGTTTCGGTGAAATGAATTTCTACAATACTGTTACTGTTAATTGTCTCTGCAGTGTTTAAATGCTTACATATACACACACAGCTACTGCTCCTCCACACAGACGACTCGGTTCTGCTTCTA